TATATATATATATATATATATTTGCTGTAAAGCATTTGCTCAGCAAAATATTTTTACTCCCACAACCATAAAATCACTTTTGCCTAACATGCAGCATTCTAAAACATGTCACTATATACTGTAATGCACTTACATTTATTTACCTCTTTTTGATCTCCCTGCCATATTATAGCATGTTCATTCACTTTTAAGTCTTTATTACCACTGAATTCTCCCACATTAGCATAGAAAAATGATCCATTTTCTTTCTTTTGCCAGTTCACCAGATCATAGGATGGGTAGGGATCTCCATTCTGGTCAAAACTTACTTCATCACCAGAGTCCGTAGTAAACTTCACACGTTTCAAATAACGTAAAAGCTTTATGTTAAAAACAGTGAAATGGTTATTCAATACTATTAACATTTTTAGACACTCATAGTCTTTTTTGTAAACATACTGCCTGTTGTATACTGTATTTTGTGTAGTTATCACCTATTCTATGACCCATCAATTCAAAGAAAAATGCTCCCTATTGAGCTCCCTCACACATCCCACCTCTAGCTGGAGAAAGGGGTCCAGATTAAATTATTAAAGGAAAAAGTGTGTTTTGCTACAGAGGATGCATCACTACCTGTAAAGCATCCTGGATTGCACAATTTAAAAATTTCCTTAAAGGGAACATCATAACAGTCACTTTCTGGTATCTTAAATAAGTTTGCTCTGATGTTCTGAGCCACAATGTAGAGGCCATAGTGCTATTTTATTCTTTCATTCTTGTAAAGAATAATGAATTGTTGGGAGCTAAATTGCGGGGCTTACTTACCAAAGGAAAAGAGTTATCACTTGTCAAAGATAATATTCATATAGCTTAATGAGTGTTAAGTAGAGGGGGACATGTTCTGTTGTCCAGAAGAGAACTAGGCAGGGCTGACACACTGCTTGAAAATTCAGTGCAGCAGAGGCACTGTGTTGTCAGTTCAAACAGGAAGTTAGAAGCACACTGATTTTTTTAGCTGGATTAAAGGAGAACTATGGGGTCAGGGCTTTTCCCCATAGTTTTCCTAAGGGTAACGGGAGGACACAAACTAGCGCCCTCCCTTCACCCTAAGCTCAGTATACTGCTTAGGGTGTACTGTAAAGGGGTAAACATAAGGAAATGTGTATATATTGCATATGTGCTAACTCTGACATATGCTTTACAATAAAATTAATTTTTTTTTGCAAAAACAGTGTTTTAAAATGGTCTTAAGGCAAATCCTCCTTAACATTCACATTGTCTCATTGTAAACACTGTAAAATCACAATATTGAAGGGGCAGTTGTAATTTACATTTAAATAAAAAAAACTTAAATGAATAAAACACAGAGGGGGGAATTTATAAAAATTGGAGCAGACAAAATCTGGAGCAGATTGCATATCTCCATGTGATATAGCTGAATTTGGTCTGATTTATGACTTACCTTCCAAGGTTTCAAAGTGGTGCTTTGGTTATTAAGGAAATCTTTGAATCCATTTACCTCTATCATACTGTGCAAACCATGACCAACTGCATAAACGGCTTTGTACACATTATATGAGGTACGTAGGTTGCTCACATCTAGATAGAGGGAACCAGAGGCATTTAAATTCTCTAATCCAGTACATGGTACTTTACCTGTATGAACAGAATTATTAATCGAACAGTTAAAGGTATATTCCCATAGATTTGAAATAAGTGGGTTGCTGTTCTGCTGAGATAAATGTGTATTGACAAGAAAATGTTTCAGTCCAGTAATGTCTCCTCTGTCTATGGCAAATCCTATTGTCCCTCCAAAATTAGTAAACAATTGGTGATTATATACATATTTTGAGGTGGACCAGGCCTCACTCGCAATCCACTGAATTCCAGATATGTTCTGATAAACAACTTCCTGGAAAATGATTCCTACAATAAGTTCAGAGGCAATTATAAGCACAACATTCACTTTATGTAGGAGGATTTTTCTTACACTCTGTGAGATCTTCCTGGGAGTAGCAACGGCTGAAATAATTTCATAAAATGCTACACAGAAACCTAGTTGTGTGGCTTCATCTTTAAATATGTTTCCAGCATTTTTTCCGTAGTCATTATCTTCCACGATAAGACCTATCCATGTCCATTTGAAATGTTGTACCAGTTGTGCCAGGGCTCGGGACTGGAATAAGTCACTGGGTACGGTGCGAAGAAAAGTTGGATATTCGTGTTTATTGCTCAAACAAGCACATGTAGAAAAGTAACTGATCTGCAGACAAAAGCACAAATTCATTTGCTAATGTAGAAAACTATATCATGTGGTCGGTTACACTAAATGAGAATGCTTTATTGAAAAATAAGGGAAAAATAGCACAAAATTAGAGCTGCTGTCCATAGCTATCAATACAAAATCATGTTTAAGTTTTCATGTAGATTGAAAGATGAAACCTTATTGGTTGCTACTGTCAGCAACTTCAGTTTTGTGCTAACTTTTTCCACATTTCTCCAGTTATATCAGTCCTAGTATTTTTAGAATGCTCATTAGGAAAACATATACAGTATATAAACCATACCATGTGTGATCACAAGCATTAAAATATTGATAACTTATGCAAATTAAAGTCCATTCAACTAATCAGCAAATGTAAAAAACTGTTTTGGGTCGAGTGGTCTCCAAAGCATATCTGAACCCAATCACAAAGATGTAAGCTTACCAATCCTAGTGGCTCCATTGGTTTTCTTTTAAGGCTTATTTTCCTTTATTTTCACCTGATGATCCTGCCATTAACATACTTCCTGCATTATCACCCTATAATAATTGTTCCCTCTGCTCTTCTCCAAAACATAAGGAGAGATAACGTTGCAGAAGGGGCAGTGTACGCAGAAAGTTATCATCTCACTGGAGCAACATTTTTTCCCCCGCTGAGAAAACAAAATGCTTTCAATGGTATATTTAACAGCAGGGGTGAACCGGGACTCCTTGGCCCAGTGGAGAAAGTTACATCTGGGGGCCCACCTCACTAGCACAACTACAGTCTGTATCCAACAACAATGCCTTTATTTATGATACCACAATGTAACACAAATAAATTATACTTTGTATTATATTTATAACGCAATCATGAAAATATATTCAGATGAATGATTCCATCTGATTTCTACATATTTGTGCTCGGTGAACAATATCCAAGATGTATATAAACTGCAAACACAGTAATCGGGCAGGCGAGTGTCACTAAGTATCGTGAGGATGATGGTTAATGGTACAGACCTAAGACTGTTGTATCATCCAGTCCTCCAGATGTTCTGTAGACTACATTAATGACTATCTAGTGAGAGTGAATGAGAATGAGCAAATTTATTAAAGGAGAACTATGAGGTGAGTGCTTTTCACTCACCTCATAGTTCTAGCCGACCTGTGACAATGAGACTGTCATAGGTCGGCTCAGTAGATCGGGAGGTGAGCGAACACATGCCGGTGTTCGCTCACTTCTCGATCCTGTCACGGCTCTCTGCCGTGACAGGGGAGGGGATGGATTCCCCCCTCCCCGCTCCGATCCACCAGCGCTGACTGGCGGAACGGACGGGGGAGGGGGCGGGTACAGCTGGCTCTGCCTCTAGATAGGCAGAGCCAGCTGTCACTCACGCAGCTGGGCGAATCTCGACATCGATGTCGGGATCAGCTCTGGTGTCTCAGTATACCGCAAGCTGTAGCTCGTGGTATACTGAGCTTAGTGTGACGGGAGGACGCTAGTTTATGTCCTCCCGTTACCCTAAGGAGAACTATGGGGAAAAGCCCTAACCCCATAGTTCTCCTTTAAGGATGCCATTAGTCAAGTGTTGCTAAGTGTGATGAGGATGGTGACCAGTGGTAATTAGCTGAAATAATTGCATTAACCTATGCTCAAGATGTTGGCATTGGTTATGTAATGTTTAGCTATGTTTACAGAGTTATTGTGCTCCTTAATTGAACCCACAGCATTTCAGCTAAAATGTCAACCCTTATCCCCTCTGTAAAATCTTTAAGATGTAGTTATGGTATTACTGGCTTTCTTGCCCTCCATTTTAGTGTCTGTCTTACAGGCGTATTCTATGCCTCTAGGGGGAAGGGGTGGTATTATTGGGATAATTTAAAGAAAACACTGTCACAAAACATTTGAGTGCATGCAAGGGTAAGAAGTACTTTATATACTCCAAAAATGGTGTGTATATTCAGCACACCGCAAACCATGGTCATACAAGATTCTACAGCAACAAATAAGATAGTTGAGTTCTTCATTCTCTGCTAAATCATGAATAAGATTTTGAAGAGGGAATGGTTTTTTTAGAACTGGAATTGTTGTTTAAACTATCAACCTTAGCCAACTGTGCCAAATTTTGCAAAGTTTCTGAAGGAATGTCACGTTGGTTGAGCTGATAAAACCATTTAGGTTAAGGAGGTAACACGGATCAAAGTTTCATTTTTGAAGAATTTGGTGTTGCGATGCCAGTTACTTCAATGTACATCTTTGCAAGCACAGTGGAAGATGGAGGGTGGGTTGCAGCCAGATGGCAACCATCAATCATTTAGTGCAGGGGTGCCCACAATTTTTGTGTTAAATTGACATTAAACCCTCAGATTTTTTAACATAAACCAATACTGTAATGTGTGCCTTACTGTAATCCATGGTAGTTTCCCTTCTCTGTGCTGCTCTTCCTTTTAAATCTGTATCTCTTCTCATGCTTGGGTAGAACTTCCCTTTGCAGCTGAGTGCCTCTTCCTGTAGTGCTGGCTCAGGTTGTGAACCTTCACACAGACACCATGTATCCATTCCAGAGACAAGGCAGTCTGCTGCAAAACAGAAGTTCTGCCCAGCATGAGAACAGATACAGATTTAAAAGGAAGAGCAGTAAAGAGAAGGGAAACAACCATGGATTACAGTAAGGCACACATTACAGTATTGTTTTATGTTAAAAAATCTGAGGGTTTAATGTCACTTTAAGATCTACTTTTTGAATGACGAGCTACATTAGATCTACCAACTAAAAAAACAAACCTCCCTCGGAGATCTAGGTCTAAAATGTGACCTAATATGATGTTATTTGTGAGCTGAGGAGGTCACCTGGTCTTCAGTCATATGGGCTTCCCTCCCGTATCAAGAAGGGAAGCGCGATTTTAGACCTAGTTCTGTGGGCAGGATCGTATCTGCCGCGAGGCAAACAAGGCGTTTGCCTGGAGCGGCAGATTCCCTGAGAGCGGCAATTGCTTTGGTTCTCTCCCCTTGATAAATTTTATTTATCAAGGGAAGAGAACCAGAGGCCATCGTAGCAGCGGGGATCGGCGTTGCTGTCTTGCCTAGGGCAGCAGGATTTGTAAATACACCACTGTCTGTGTGTCTATCTCCCCAGGTGAGCACTGTTCCAATTTTTGCATTCACTGGGTGGAGGTGAAGGTCTGTCAGGATTCTGTGGCAACTGCTCACTTGGAAGTTTGGATCTATCCAGTGGTGGATTATCCCCTGCATTTATTGGCACAATTTGTATTGCTGCACATTGGACTTTGTGTTTTTCACTCTGTTCACATATTTTCATGTTTTGATATGCTTTTCTGTATATATTTTTATATTTTTATTTTTAAAGCATATACTCATATATTCTATTGTTCATCACTGAATTAAACCCTAGAGATAGGCACACATATGAATCTACAAAAGGTAGATGTGTTTATAAAACCCAGGACTACTCTGGAAGCGCTGCAGCTACAGTAAAGAACAGTATGATCCCAGTGAGACCAATGAACTTGTGTAACACAGATTTGCATGTTCTTCCTGGAACTGTTCTAGCCTTTCTGTATCCACTTAAGGCAATATGCTCTCCTCTTATGTCTCACTTCACAATAGAGGGAAAAATGTTTTGTCAGATGTCTACTTGTATAGCTCCCGCATTGCAGAATCTAAGGTTGTCTGGGATAGCAAAACAAATATCGACTCCCTGTAGAATTTTCAGACATGTATCTTAAAAATAAGGCAAAATTAGAACAATTACTAGATAAACATATCTATGTTTTTGCTAAACAGGTCTGACTATAAATGCACTGACCGAACTTCTCATGACATCATGACTGGGCATACACCCCCGATTTGGGAGCGGTACAGGGCAATTCCACCGCACCTGTATCAGGAATGAAAGAAATGCTGAGGAAGATGTTAGATGGAGGAGTCATAGAAGAAAGTAAGAGTTCCTTGACAGCCCCAATAGCGTTAAGCTAGCCATTTACTTATAGACCTCTTTTATTCAGCCCACAGACAGATTCCTCTATCCACGCTAAACAGTGTGGATTGATGAATATCTCCTGCTGGACTATTGCAGCTGATTGGCTGCATCCTCTGTTCGACCAACATTGGGGTTCCTTCTGTTAATTATATTAAATATTGTTAACTGTAGTTCATAAAGAGGACTTCAAATTATGGTAGGGTGGAAAATATAATAGATAAATCTTATGTTAATCCATAGTTGTAGATTTATGAGAAATGGCAAAAGAGGTACAGTTGCTCACTGTTTGTTGTTATAGTAATAATAATATTAATAACACATTAAGGAAACCCTTTTATTCCTATATATATATATGACTTTTTGAGACTGCAGAAAGTCATAAATACAATGGATCAGTGACCGAGGTGCTTTTGCTGTGTAGCTAAGAGATGTCAACAGGTCCTAAGAATTTTTAAAAAATATCACAAGGTAGAAAAATGTGTTAGTTTCTGTATGCTTTATGGCTTCCTGCAACAAATTATTAAAAGCGGCGCACACAAATTTGTTAATGTGTCTAATGTTGTGCCAGATTTGAGTGTACATACTCTGACATGTGTCAAAATGTAGGCAGAAATCTTAGGTAATCTTCTACTAGGATCATCCTAAATTTTCTCCTCTCCTTTCACTACTGTTACATGGATGGCAAAAGTGGCAGACAGGGACGGGGAGAAGGTGGGGAAGAGAGAGAGCCGGAGGGGGGCCAAGTTGCTGCACCATGGGCCTCTGGGTTGTACTTGCCCCCTGGGCTAAAAGTTGCCAGTCAGCCCCTGCACAACCCCCTCTCCTTACTGCAGCACTGATGTCCAATATTTACACCACTCCGATAATAGTGAATATTTTAGAACGGTTACTTCTAATGTGATACGGTGAGGATGGGTCAACACCACATAGTACTTACCTTATAACATTGTTAATTTGGCGCATGGAAATGTCCAGTCTTTCTTAATCCCTCCATTGTTTGGAAAGTGAGAATCTTTAAACCATCTTCTGGGGATGCAGCAATTCCAGTAAATTTTAGAACTTTTAATACTTTTAAGATTGCTTCCATGATAGACTACAATCTCACATTCAGTTTACTAATTTGTATTGGGATTACAGTCTATCACGGAAGCGAACTTGGAATAGTGGCTACTTTACAACACACACAGGGACCATGGGGAACAAAAGTAGCCACCCTCCAGAAGGAAGGACAGTGTCAGCACCAATTCAGAGATGATTTGAGGATCTACAGCTGAGTTATACACAAATAACATAACATTTTTATTAATAGTTAAGGTACTGGAATGCATTTTTAAGATTTAACTCATGAGTTTAGTGTCACTTTAATGCCAAAGAAAATTATATTATCTGCCAAAGAACCTTTCAACCTTTTCTAAAGAAATCCTGTTTGGAATTAGAAAAGAGACTAATTTATCATTGATTTTTTAATTACATTTGTATTTGCAGCAGTTTTATGAAATAAAGAATGTGGATGATTTATCTTTTTTTCCCTCTTTTTGTATGTGTGTTTGTTTTTATAACTGCAGTTTTTTTTTTAAATTATTTGTGCCTCCAGAACATGCCTTTTATTTTTACAGTTCTCACACTGAATCCAAAATTAGCTGCAGACACAGTCAGATGCTTCCATGAGTTTACTCTTCAAACAAATGCAAAACACAGCAAAGTATTGCTCCCAGCTCAAGTGATATTGTTTGTCATTGTTAGCTTCTCAGACAGATTTTAGATATTATTTTCTACTGTTAAGGATTATGTTGAATAAGTGACTAGAATGAAGAGTAGACCAGTTATCCAGTTTTTGATGTTCTTTGTAGTTATTTTATTAGATGGTGAAATATTTGTGTATTCTACAAATAGGGCCTATAATACCACACTGTAACAACCAATCAGATGTACTTTGCCTGAATGGATTTGTTGAGGAGCTTCACTAAAAACACAATAATTGTGTAAGGTGGGTGCAAAGGCAGCGGTATTACCCTATGTGCATGAGGCAAAGTAAGGACACCACATCATGATCAGATAATTAGTTTCAAAAACATAAAAATAAAAAACATGCAAAAAAATAACATGAGTTTAAGATTTTGGGGACATGCATGAAGGTTCATTACTACATGCCACAAATACCTAGATGCATACAATGACATTTCAAAATGTTATTTTCGTTTCAACAGACAGCTTTGTGAGTGCTGTGATCCTGGTGCAAGTGGGGTTCCCCATTACTTTTGCCTACTGTATATCCCTTAGCAATTTCCTGGGGCCGAAGCTACGGCCAGATCCTTCGGCAGCTTTGTGAATAGACCCTATACTCTTCATAGCCTGTCAATTAGGTTACTCTGCCTGGAAGGAGTTAGCAAACATGAGAACTCATATTTATTTAATTTAATGGTGCTGGTATTTAACAATATAAGTAGTCATTGAACAGTGGGGTTCAGAATCCAAAGTCTTCCAAATCCAGATTGCAAATCCTTGCTCAACCAATGGCACATTTTTTAGTGTATTATCTATTCTCCAATTATAGGAAATGGTAGTATTGGTTATATTCCTTGATACAGCTGTTATTCCTTTTAAAACAATATGAAGCTTTTAATTAAAACCTATTTCTTATTCACAATATAGTGTCTTATATGGACCTATGTGCAAAATTAAACTTAGTAAATAGCTGGCCATAACTATATTTATATGATGGGAAGTATGTATATAGGAAAGGTCATACTAAATAGTTATTGAAATCATAATAATTATATATTACCACTGGAATGCTAAATAGCCTTGCCACTCTTGTCACAGCTATGGACTGGGTAGACCAGCAGCCTCCAACTATCACCGGTACTAATGGAAACTTTTCACAGGTTATGTTCTGGTTCCCAACACCAGAGGTCAATAACAAAGCAGACCGTGTTGCCTGGAAGTGGGTATAACATGTATCATATATTCTGTAGCCCAAAGTCAAGTTGGGTAGCAATGTATCACTTTCATTTATTACTTCAATGGTGAAAATCATAGTTTGAACAGCCTGGAAGTCTGCCACACTAAACCTGTAAAAGAAAACATATTTAGAAGAATACAAACAATTAAAGCTTGGTTAGAAGAATATGTATTCTTGTTTTTTTACTGGCTGTGAAATGCAATGCACATTAATGTGATCAAGCTTACCTTACATGGTATTGACCCCTGATGCTTTGAGCAGGTATCTGCAGGTGTCTCTTGAAAAACTCAGATTATGTCCAGAGCTCTATGGAATCCCCGAAACCCAAGTCACTTTGCCCCAGCCAACATTTCCTATTGGACAGTGGGGCTGCCCACTAAATTGGGGGGTCAATAGGCAGGTGGGGGATATCAGGCATCACCCTGACTAGTGAGGAAGGAAGCCAGTGGCTCCGTGAAATATCATGTGTTTATTCTTAGACACAGGTGCAAGCTGTCAGTAAAATATAGGCTTATTTCAGTGTAAATCTGTTTAGACATTAGTTCATTGTGCTGTGCAGATATGCTTTAATCTTTATTACTATTAATGAATATATTCTTTATGATATATACATAAGAGATCAGTACTTACCCTGAACATTGTAGTTTTTCTGGGTCACTTTGAAATGATAAATCTGGGTGAGATTCCACATAATTTGCAGAAAAGATTCCCCCTATATCCACATCTCCCTTCCTAATTACAGCTGTCAGGTCAAAGTGTCCATCTACTATGCAGCTTGGATGAATTTCCTTTTCAGCTAGTGTCCTTATTAGAAAAAGAAACCTCAGCCCTAACAATGCCTGCTTGAAATTCATTCTGACAAGTGGTGCCCATCATCCTTCAAGCAGATCACAAGAGGAAGATCTTTTTATGCACAGCTCTTACCTTTTATAGACAAAAAATACAGCTGGGAAATACCAGCATCTCTTCTGAGAGAAGCTAATGAGACTGAGTACATTCCCTGCAGGCATTTCAAGAATTAAATGAATCCTAATATTAAAGGTGTGTTAAGTGTTCCGTAAATCACATTTTACCTGTAACTAAGGCTTTGCTTGTTAGCTTATGCTTGGTGCAATGGAGGAGTAGATAGATAGATAGAAAAATGGATAGATAGACAGTTAGATAGATAGATAGATAGATAGATAGATAGATAGATAGATAGATAGATAGATAGATAGATAGATAGATAATATACAAATACATACAATATGATTAGATGTGTATGTGGTGTTCAGCACACAACAAGAAATTATCACTGCTGTGCAGTATTAGAATGTTTAAACAATTGTTTGTAGTCTTTTTTTGTTTATTACGTAACAATATCTCATGCATACTTCCAAACATAGTCTTTAGAGCTAATATTTGCAAGTCATACAACCATATTTAACAAACCAGCTAGTGTGATGTTAAAGCAGCCCTTACATGCAAGGTCTGCTTTTTTAGTTGCCTCCTTGCTGAAATGCATTTATCAAAAAAAAATACTATTATACTCACCTTTCCCCTAGCTTCTGTACTGCAATAGGTAAAATCTTCCTGATGATGGGATCCCGGGGAATGATGATTATTCCACATCTCAAGAAAAGATGCTGTTGCACAGTGCAGACTCATCTTCTCAGCAGGATTTGGGCTACTCACTATTCCTGGGGATCTTGCCGCAAGGAGGATGACATTATCCTCACCTAGACACCGCAGACAGAAGCCAGGGGAAGGTGGTGTTCACTGTTTTGTGCAAAAATATTAATCTGGCATTGGTATTCAGTAGTAATATCAAGCTAGCACTGACATTCAGTATGAAAAGATTATACTTGCATAGTGTTTAGTGGGAAAGGACTAAACTATCATTAAGGTTCATTGGAAACTGATGGAACTTGCAGCGTTGTTCAGTGCAAAACGTTTGAACTTGCATTGGTGTATATTGGTAACATTTAACTTACATTGTTCTTCAGTGGAAAAAGATTAAATTAGCATTGACTTTCAGAAGAAATATATTAAACTTGCAGCAGTAATACTGGTATTCTCTGGGAAAAGAATAAACCTGGATTAATGTATAGTGGTAACATTAAAGCCCAATTTCAGGCAGTTGAAAAAACTAATGTTGCGGTGCTCCCTCCCTCTTGTTTGTCTAGGGGCATAGGTATAAGGTGAAATACCTTAATTATAGCCCAGGCAAGCTTCCTCCTCTCAATATGACTGGAGTGTGGGGGAGTAGAGAAGAGCACTAGCTAGCAGGGTAGCAAGCAATAAGGTAATATACATATCACTGATTATTTCAATATCCGTTGACAAAATGAGAATTTAACTCTTGCTAGGGCCCCCAGTGCAATGGTAAATAGATTTACCTGGAGTTCAGCATAAACTAGCATTAGTTTACAGTGAAAACAAATTAAACTTGCATTGGTGTTTAGTGGTAATAATGCCCAACGTTAGTTACCTGAACGTCCATAACTGTCCTTGGAACTCTAAGGATGCTGTTGGATGGATATCAATTTACTGTAGTGGTGCCCAGTGCTGGAATTAAAGGCACCTTCAATGGACATTAATCAGCTATGACGTTAGACAGCAGAGAAACACTAAAGGCACCTGTGGATGGTTATGAATCTGCTTCAATGGTAGCCAGTGACACAATGCCTAGAGGAACCCTTAAATAAGTCTTGAGCAACTCCTGAAATAAATTTACAATCTATAGCTCATGGTAAGGTAGCATGATAAATATTTTTTAACAGTAGTTATCTGTGTGCTGATGGACAATTTGTTCACATGGAACCTGCATAATGCTGTTCAAAGAAGCAGTATGGTATGGTTTTTCATTTTTTAATTTCAGACCAACATACTGTAATATGTTCAGACAGCTGTAGTTCTGGATACAGCCCTCATATCTTTCAGGCCAGAGCGTCCCAGGTTGCTAAGAGTCCTTAGCAACCCGTGACACTCTGGCTGGTATCCTGCCCAGTTCACTAATATCACTGGTCACCAGTTAACTGAGCATGCTAGTACTAGCTCCTGAGGGAGTCTATTACACATTTTCACAGCTCTAACTGTGAAGAAGCCTTTCTGTATGCAAAGGTTAAACCTCTTTTCCTCCAGACACAAAGAGTGCCCCCTTGTCCTTTGCAGTGATCTTAAAGTAAATAATTTGGCACCAAGCTCACTATATGGACCATTTATGTATTTATAGATAGTGATCATGTCCCCCCTTAATTGCCTCTTCTCCAGAGAGAACAAATTTAGTTCAGCGAATTTTTCCTCGTAGCTGAGTTCCTCCATGCCTCTTATGTCCTTCTCTGCACTTTCTCCAGTTCCTCATATATATAATATATATCATGTATGTCTCATGTATATCTTATACCTTTGGTATGCCACAGAGCAAAGCAAAGAAAATGTGAAAAAAGATAAATAATTTTTTATGATATAAGATATTCTAAAGTAACCTGACCAGAGGTTAGTTAGTAACCCTAGTAAGTCTCCAAACGTGTAATCGGTCAGGCAGCATATTTAATTGAAGAAATGTAGTCACCAGTGGTGTAACTAGAAATCACAGGGCCCCAAAGCAAAATTTTGTATGGGGTTCCCCACCCCATCAGAAAAAAAGTCCTAACTCCAGAACACGTTCCCGTGCCTGCACCATCTCCTTCTCTTCAGCTCTGCTTCTGCTGGCTCTGACATCAGAGCCAAAGAAGAGATCAATCCACCGCTTACTGCTGCAGAGCCCACCATATACCCTGCAGAGCCCACTATAGACCCCGCAGAGCCCACCATAGAGCCCATCTGAGACCCCGCACAGCCCACCATAGACCTTGCACAGCCCACCAGAGACCCTGCAGAGCCCACCTGAAAACCCACACAGCCCATCTGAGCGTGACACTGCAGAGCCCATCAGAGACCCCATAGAGCCCACCTGAGCGTGACCCTGCAGAGCCCACCTGAGACCCTGAAGAGCCCACCACAGACCCCACAGAGTCCATCTGAGACCCTGCAGAGCCCACCTGAGACCCTGCACTGCCCACCCAAGAATGGCTAAGACTAAAATACTGGACTATTCTAAAGCGGCCTTCTATGAGCCCTGATCTGATTCCTATTGATCATCTATGGATATAGATGAAACATACAGTCTGGAGAAGGCACATTTTAAACCCGAGACAAGTCCATTCTTGTTTGCTCAACAAGAATGGACCAAAATATCAGTTGTTACAAAACTCTAATTGAGAGCTACAAAAATCACTTGTTTGCAGTGATTGACTCTAAAGGTTGTGCAACAAAATATTAAGAGAAGGATCTCATTTTTTTTCTATTCTGTTTTAATTTTCTTTTAAATATTTTAAATATTCTGTTAAATAAAAAAATCAAAACATTCTGTTAAATTAAATATGGAATAAACAATTATAGATGACAATTAGTTTGGTTAGTTTCAAGCTATTACAGAGAAATGTATGGGTTTCTCTTTTTTTTCTTGGAAGGGTACCAACAAATATGTCCATGTTTATAGCTCTATTTGTTAGGTAAAATTACAGTGATTGGTGATTTAATAAGACAAGAAAAGAAAATGTCGCGCACAGCAGTACTATTTTAGTAAGTAATATTTTATACTGTGTATTTCCCTTGATATTAGCATGGATTTCCCTCTACCCATACTGACCCACTGATAAGCAGCTGTGCAGGAAAACCCAGCAGCACTGTGCTATGAAGGTTACCCTGTTTCACATGAATTCACTGAGGACTCTAATTAACATTCACTTCAAGTTACTGTACAAAATTCATTTCCTGGCAGTTAAACATACACAATCCCCTAAAGGTTCAGCTTGATTATTTGCATTGGTGTAAGTAAAATTGATGCTCAGGTGTTCTGACAATTTGCTAAGCATCAGATCTAAAGATCAAATTATCTACTATTCTTGTTTACTCTCCACATAGTGTGTCGTAAATCAAAAATGTCTAAAAGGGAAAACGTTGTGTTTGTGTTGCCGATAGCATTCAATTAGATTTTCTCTTACAATTTCTATCTTGCTCTAGAAAATGGTAGCTGAAATCTGTCTTTTCATAGCTAACACAGGCATGTTTGTAAAGGATTTGGGATATGTAGGTCTGCAAATATAGCTAACAAAAAGAGAATGAGATTATGGCAACAGAACTTGTAGTTTCAAAATAAACAAAACAAACTTCCTGGCAAAACTTTTAAGTAGCTATAGACCTACAAATGTCTTCTTGCGGATCTTAGCAGGGGAGTCATTTGCTTGTCCTCTTTATAAGCACAACTTGCTCCTGTCAACTCATCAACATATTGAAGCAGCACATGCTAAGTTATTACCTTACTTTCACCTTTGGAGGAGCCATATTATACTGAGATTTTTTAATTAAGTTGCATCAAGTTATTGGATGCAGGGGGATGATTGTGTCTAGCCATAGTATTTAATCAAAAACATTAATATTTCAAATATGTAGATCTGCTACCACCAACTAACAACATATTAGGAAATGTAAATTGTATTAAAACTCATTACTATGGCTGGGAGAAGTATAGTAGCTAAGAACATTTCATATGTAGTTTGTGTACTAGAATTAGTTGTAGCTTTAGTGCTTCTTGTTTGGATTAAATAGTTCAGGATCGTCTCTGGTTGAATCCAAACAATTCTATTTTCATTCAGTCACAAACTTCTAATGCCCCATAGGTTTAAAACAAGTACAACAAATATGCAGGCACCTTGATTATAGAGTGTTGGACTCAGTGACTCAGTGACTCATTTTTGAAAAGCGTTCTTTAAAAGCATGTGCACAGTTACATCTCTCCATTAGAAATGTATATACAAAAGGTAAGTGTGCA